CAGTCCTGTGAAGTTGCAGCGGTATGTATTCATGCAACACTCAGAAGATCCACCTGCTTTCTAAAGATAACCAACTAGTGCAGGAAGATAGAACAGCTTCCCGATGGTCACCTGAGGTTCACTTTACCCCAAGGGTGGTGGGAGTCTGGAACAAACTACCCATTTTGTGGCTGGACCCAATGCTCTGACTTCTTTCAAGAACTGAATGGATGAGATCCTTGGATCACTTAACTACCAAACGGGTTAGACGAGCTGAGTGGCCTCTTGTCTGTGACTGTTCTTTCCTATGAATGGAAAAGCTTTTGGGGGGGAATCACACTGGTGTCTCACAGGCCCGACAGGCATAACTCTTTGCCAGTGGGCGAAGCACATTATTCCTGGAGGACTCTAAAAATAACAGAAGAGACCGTGAAAAAAATAACTCAGACGTGTAACAAATCATAAAGAAGCTACACAAGACATAGATAGAAAACTCCTAAAATGGGTTAAACCAGCAGAAAAAAGCCCAACCCAGACTATGCTGCCCATAGAAGTTACTTTATTTAGCCCACATTTAAATTTAGCCACTGTGGCAAGAACCTGCGCTCTCTCAGTGCTTCCACTGCAGAGAGGGGCAGAGAGGCAGCGATAAGCATCGAGTGTGGTCGGGAAGTATGAACCAGCTAGTGTTGTGGCTTAAGAGTGGTGTTTCAGCCAGGAGTTTAAACACAAGGCCTCCTTTTTTTTGCAAATTTGCGTCTCTGAGTCACAGGCGGCGTCAGGCAGGCCAGCGCGGTGGTGCTGTCCCATCATGCCCTGGGCTCTCCTCTCCCGAGTTCTCTTTTAAAACCGAGCCTATGCAAATCCGCAGCACAGCTCTCGGGAGGGAGGAAGTTCGTTTTTCTTCTACTTGCAAAACTCATTTCCCTGAAAAGCTTAAAAATTTACAACTGAACACTACAACTGGCACCTTAGAAAAGGGAGTCGGCCTGTCTGCTTTTTTGGATCTGCTTGCCTGTTGGAAAGCTAACCGAAGAGCTGAGGCTCTTAATGGTTCACGTGGTCTCTGTCTCTCACATTCTGGAGACAGGAGTCAGACACTCTTGCAGTCACATTAGAATGACACATTGGTTCTGCCAATTGGCTACCTGCCAATTCTGTGCCTAATACACACTGAAAATCTCTCTCTACTTATTTATATGTTCTTGTATTTCACACAGACCTACTCAAGAAACAATGTCCCTCACTAAATAATCACAGCTACTATTTATAAAGCAATTTCTTTCACAGGGGTAACCACTTCTGAGTTTCACGAAGCCACATTAAGTGGTGTAAAGACATGTTAAGTGACTGAACTAGCGTGAGGCACAAGGTTATCTCAGAAGCGCAACAACGCAGGTCATTGTACTCGGCTCTCCTGAGCCGAGCCCCCGAGTCCGACAGCGCTGAGGTCACCGTCTGCCTCCTCCACAAACACCCTGGACGCGCGGGAAGGGAAGTTGACTGTGCCTGTGTTCTGCAAAGAGGATCAGCAGGGCTGCGTGTTGCAACACGAAATCCTGCGGTGCTGACAAAACACTGACACCGAGAGCCCAGTTTAAAGACTCACCGCACAAAAACGGGCCACGTCTGCAGAAGCTGTCCATGCTGGTTCACCTCCTAAAGCTACTGCAACATCCAGCTATTTTCTAGTCGCGTCATGCAATTCAGGGTCGCGGGGGGGCTGGGGTCAATATGGCAGGGCACACCCTGGATGGGATACCAGTACCAACCCGTCGGGGTCGCTGAGGGACAGCGTCAGGACTGAGGTGCTTCAATGGCGTTGCTCCACAGCCAGGCAGGGTGCACTGATCCCCACCCTGGCTGCTGAGGTTGGAAGACAAGCTCCAGGCTTCGAATGTTACAGGAAGTGCCGGATAAGGACTTGATTTCCACTGTCTATTCACCAACCAGCAGAAGACTGATGCGGTTTCAATAGTTCTTTAAAAATCTTTCACATTTTTATGTCTCTTCATTTATTGTTGGTTGCAATATATATATCGCACTCTTTCTTCACCTTACTACACCACGGCCTCATCAAAGTGCCTATTCTTGCATGCAGGGTAATCTCCCAGTTCCCTGGGGGCTTGTTCAGAGTCTCAGTGCAAAAGCAGCTTCCTGTAATGAGCAGGACCAACTCCCCCCACCTCCGGCCCTAAGACAGCGCAGATCCAGCACCTCCAATAGCGGCTCTCTGTGCCTGGAGGGGACAGTCTTTAACAGGACGGGGAGCGGGCCTGGCTTGTTCAGACTCATCTCACACAGGGCCTGGCTGGACAGAGCCAGGAGCGGGGCTGGACTTGTGCAACCCCTCCGCCTCCAACACCCCTGCCCCTCATTTCCACTCACAGCCTCACCCTACGCACCCAAAGGAGATCATGATACAAACGGAGAAAACGGTTTGTGATCACCAAGCCCTCCTGGTTCACCAGGGACATTTCCCGGCCATCCACCCTCCCCCACAAAGATTTGCATAGCTTGATGCTTGTCTGCTATTTAACTGGCTGCGCCATGTGAGAAGATCTGTCGGTCCGGAAATTCACATGCACTTTAACACACTGGCGTCTAACCATGCAGGCAGGTCTCTCCTAATACCAGTTTATTGGACAAATATGCATTTTAAACACAAGAATACCTCCCATAAACAACAAAAAACACTTCTGTGGTGCTTCCTCATTAGTCCAAGGGTGAGCCTCACCAATGCTAACGCAATAAAAAAAGTCAGATGCTATCACTGGTTCTAGTTTTTACAACCCAGCAATTCATCAGCGTCCTTCTGCAGCAGGTCCTTGTGTAGACACCCCCAGTTGCAACGTTGCACAATCCTTCGCTGACCACCGCAGTTGCAGACAAAGTGCAAATTTAACCCGTGGAACAATAACCTACGCACCGAGCCCCCGGGGAGGGGCTTCTCTGTGCAGAAAGCAGCACCCCCGCTTCTCCAAGCGCCCAGTTCCACATCCCCGGGCCGCGGACCGAGGACGCTGAGTGAACAACACCCAGCATCATGCTTTCCACTTCCTCTTCAAAACAGGAGGGGAATTTTTTTCATTTAAATATACTGACACACTGTTGTGTCACGATCCCTCATTCAGATCAACTGTATGGGACCCAGGCTGCGCCGGCGCCCTAAACTGCTGGATCCAGATTCTCCCCAACCCCAGCTAATCCCACACACCTCCCGCCGGAGCAGTGCTCAATCCCAGAATAGCCTGGCCTTCCTCTCCACAGATTACATCACTCTTGCCGACACAACTCCCGAACAAAGTGGATCGTGTTGCCTGCTATTTACTTTGAGCTGACAGACAGGCTAAGCACTCTGATGCAGCAGGACTGCTGTGCTGAGCCCAGACTGGCTCACAGCTGGACAGCCGAGACTTACTGTCATACAGCACAGGCCTACCGATGTCCACTGATGGATCATTAAAGGCGCAAAGACTTGAAGGCTTACAGTATAGACCTGGATCCTCCCAGTCAAATGAAACACCCTCTTCGCAGTGGCCGAACATGAGGTTGGCCTTGCGGAGCAGCAGAAAGACTTTCGTCGTCTTCCCCGGCCAGAGAGATCCCCACTGCTCAGGTCCCGCTGGAAACCAGTGGGCCCGCTGGAATGTGCAGCTCAGTCCCACACGCTTGCCTCCAGACCAGAACCTCTGCCGCAGGTGATTCTGCCAGAAGCCTGGGCTGCAAATCTTTCAGAACCTTTTGAAAAACGCTTATGGACTTATGGACTGTTTCCCACAGTGCAGGGTGGCCCGACAGGAAACCCACAGCTGAGATAACGCGGTCCTATCAGCCCGGGCCCTGCCCAAGCTGGCGGCGTCCATCGCTCAGACAGAACGGGGCTTTCTGGGGTGGGGGTGGGGGGATTTTTTGCTGTAGGTTGCATTTGAAGGAAACCGAGCAGCCAGACTCAGACAACACTGCTCTCCACCACTACCATCGTAGTCAGCAAAAGGCTGCAGCTAAAAACTGCAGCGGATGTCTGACACAAAGCCTGGGGGATGTACACACAACCGAGGTATTGCTAGCAGAGCTGACCTAGAGCCTTCCGAGTCAATATCTCAGGGAAGGTGGTGTGAAACTGGGAAACGGACAATCTGGCCTCCCTAAAGCTCTCCTCGCCTCTCCCCCAGATCTGACTGGCAGGGGGGCAGCTGTGCGTCACCCGGGTGGGGCTGCACTTCAGTGCTGGACGATGCGACTCCCCTTCTTTATAAGCAAAGAGCTCTGCGGTGCCTTTGGGATGAGAAGCGCTTCATCAATGGAAGGAATCATTGTTATGGCTTGTTTCCAAGAAACTCTGGGCTCCATTGCTCCAACACCACTCTACACAGGATTTCTCTGGGAGGTAGGTCCCCTTCAGGCCATCAAGGCCCATAGGGATGTCTTCTCTGGTGAAGTCCTTCATTAAAGCACTGCAGTGTAAAAACACAACCAAGCAACGCACAAACAACACCCCACGGCACTGCTCCTGGCCGCCTTTGCTTTCCATGCATTAACAAAACAATAAATGTTGTGGTATTGTTTCCTTTTTAAAGAAACAAACACTGAAGTTTAATTCCCTCTTGGGGAAAAAAGGTGGCTGCCTCCTGTGAGGCAGGCAGCGGTTTCCATTTTCCACTTTTCGGCTCCGAGTAGTCTCCCTACTCAGAGAAGTTCCAGATCTGGAAGAGGCGCTGCCAGGGAAAGGAGGGGTGATGGGGGGTGGGGGTTGAGAGTGTCTTGGTAAGGGGGGATACCAAGGATTCCTCGCTGCTCTGGGAAAACTGCCTCTCGGAGAGGCCCTGGGAATTCTGTCAGACCTCTGGAATTCGAACAATTTCCGTGTCTTCCCCAGAGGCAGCAGGGCGAAGTGGGAGGAGGGGGTGGTGTGGGGCGTGCCCTTTCCCACAGCACAGGCAGGAAAGAGACAGGACCAGCAGAACATCCGAACTGGGATGGACGCGAGGAGGCCAGTCAGCCCTGCCAGCAGACTGGGAGCGAGCAGCTTAGAGATCTGGGGATCTCCTCCTGCTGTTCCCTGAAAGAATCCAAGGCACCAGCTTCAACAGCGTTTCTGGGGAGCCTGCGCCCAGCGCCACGTGTCCTCAGCGCCACATCCAGCCGGTTTCTCGGAAGGATCCAGGGTACCAGCTGCAGGGGTCTGGCTCGTTCCCGACCTCCAGCCACAGGCAGGAGAAGAACGAGCCTGGTGTGACCTTCTCCTTTCAAGACGACGCGGCAGCTGAGACACGCCAGCCCCCAGCGCCCATTTAGCGCACTGAAAAAAAAAAAACCTGGAACCAAGAGGCTGGATTGCGTGTTTTATCAAACATTTAAAAAAAACAAAAGACGATGATTTATGACTCACGTGTACAGCAGTGAATGGTTTCAGTTTTCCATTCAATACTGCATCCTGATCCAATGTGAATCATTCCCATTCCTTCCCCTTCACCATGGGCGTGCACACACACACAGAGACACACACACAGCAGAGCGACTCTCGTCGGTGCACACGGGCGGCGGACCAGGAGGGGGCGATACTCACGCGTTGCAGTACGGTTTTTTTTCGAAGCCCTTATAATTCTTCATGTTTAGAGTCATTTTGCAGACCTCGCAGCTGAAGCACGCCTTGTGCCAGACCTGGGGAGGAGAGACGAAACGTTTCCCGCGTTAAAGCGTCATGCAGCTACGCAGAGGAGGAAGTTGGCCTCTGCTTTGATCTGTTCGCTATTAATTAGCGTATTGTTTAAAAATAGCCTGTGTGGTGAAGTCAAGGCGCCCAAAAGTACAGCCATGCATGTGCTGACCAAAATCTCTCTCAATATTCGCTGCTGAATAGAATAAGGGTTTAATTAATAGAAATGTACAGCAGGAGGACAAAGAATGCTACAGCTCATTGATAATTACTGATAATTTCCTAAAAAACGATGCTGGCTACAAGAGGCTGGATGAAGCACATTTTAGCAGGTTACCGCCTTCCACAGAACAGCAGTCCTCGCTGCCCTTTCTGCAGTCACAGCAGGATGAGCCAACATGCCAGCAGAGCCGCACACCCAGGCTGCTCCTGTGGCATCATCCTGACTGAGACTCGTTAGCGGCGCTAATTAGCACTGGTGATGAAGGGACCAGGCTTGGGGACCCGTGCTCTAAAGCACCTGCTCGCACCCATTGAGGAGCTCGCTGCATTGCCCTAAGGCAGAGGTCCTGGTGACCCACAGCCTGCTGGTTTGTGATGCAGCCGAGCCCTCAGTTATACCATCATGCCCTGCCTTGACTTCAGTTTCATTTGAACTGTTTGTTCCAGCTCTTACACGCATTGGAGCTTCGACCAGTGGGTTGTGTGAAGGAAAGGGAGCTTGCTTGCTGCTCTCCCTGCAGTCACATGCTAACAGAACTGCACACATACACGTGAGCTATGTTTTCCACACATGTAACACCGTCCTTCTTGTGAGATGAGCTGCCCTGCTTGGCAGACTTGAGCCCTGTTGAACGTCTGGTGCCATAAGCTCAGGAGTGCAGGAGCCTGGAGCTCAGAGCCCAGTGAACAGGCACGTGCTTGTCTGGGCTGTGCGAGAGGAATGGGACAGAACCAGTAACCTGGTGCAAAGCACGTGTCCCCGGTGGACAGCTTGTGCCGAGTCCAGCAGTGGTCAAGCCCTCCACTAGCCCTCACAGTAGAATACAGCTCATGAGAAACAGCGTGAGGAATGTACCTCTATTCAATAATATTCCAAGTGCACCTGCAACAAAACATATTCATTTTAAATTTCTGAATTTGCTGTAAGTGGTAATTTTTTTTTATGTTTCCTATCACATCTTTTACAAGTTGATTTTGCTGGAGCAATCTTGTTCCTTGATGTCTGGTATAGCAACTGTGGGATTTAAACCCACAACCCTCCCAACCAGGGAGCCCTGTGCCCTTAGCCACTGTTCCGCACTCCTGGCCCCTGTGACAAGATACAACACAACACCTGTACGCATTACATCGCCTCCACAACTGGAAACACACACACTGCCGGCAGACCTACCGAGACACAGCACCACAGTCTCCTACTCTCTCAGAGGCCTTCAGGGGGCTGTGCTCTCTCCAGTCTCCCCAAGATTGGCCCCCGGCTTTGAGAGAGGCTGGAGGGGAGATGTCTGTGTGTGAGCAGTGTCAGGGCCCGAAGCAGAGATGGACAGGAGCGAGGCCTCAGTGGTTGCAGGGCAGGCTGCCAGTCCCTCATGTGTGGACTGTTAATTTAACCCCCCCCATAAAATCCGAATTTTTTGACCCCGCTACACTGCAGGTGTCGGCAGGGGACTTCAAGGGAATCTGACAAAGGAGCACTGGTTTAGATCCACCACCTCTTCTACACAGGACAGCCAAGGATTGCTGAGAAGGGGGTGGGGAGACGGCACCGACTTCCATTGCAGCCTGACCTGCTGCAGGCGCTGGCCCTGGAGCAGCGAGCTGGTTTATAGCTCTTGAGCTGCAAAGGGTGACAGACCACGTCCTCAAGGCAGCATGGGTCAGACGACAGAGATAACGCAGAAGGTTGTGCCGGAGTTGGAGGGGAGTGACTTCACTCTCCCTGTGTCCCTGCCTGTTTTGATCTGATCCAGCTCTCTCTCTCTCTTTGTGAAACAAAAGCAGAGATAACGCAATGCCAACGAACATCACAGGAGTAGAGAAGTGAGCACCAACGTACCCTGCTCGGGCAGCTCTGACACCACGCAGGGCCCGACGCAGACTTCTGCGTTCCGAGCTCCGACGAAGAGAGGAGAAGTGCACCGCACGTGTATTTTTTGGCGGCGGCGGTGTCTGATTTTAACAAGCCAGTATCTCCATGTGTGCTCTATGGAAAGCTCTGCTGCGGTTTCGGATCCGCCTTTTATTGGAAACGAACTGAACCCGGAGCCTGCCGGGGAGAGAGGGGGCCTCCTCGGCGGGCTTCAGATTACTGACCGCCTCCGATCCACTTCCCCTTCGCACTTCCTGCAACATCGGCTGCGAAACCAGGCCGCCGAATGTCTGAAGAGCAGTGGCGTGTTGCGTGGTCTGGGATAGCTAACGAGCCGCCAGAAAACCCCAGCTAGAGCAGGAACAAAGAACAAAGCCAGGCCGAGCACCGCAGCGAGCCGAACGCCGAGTTCAGCCACGGAACCACAATGCTTCGCTGCTGGTGAACAGACGCAGGCAGCGCAGCTCTGCTGAAAGCACATCGCGTCTTGGCTTTCAAACGCACCCTTTCAAAGGTCACGCAGATGGGAACCCTCCACACACCTATAAATTAAAGGCTGCCGGGGGCTTACGTGTGAGGCATCGGGGCTGAACTTTGATCTACAGCTTCCTGAACAAATATTGATCTTGGATGGGAACCAGGCTGGGCTGTGGCGTTTGCTTGGTGCGCATCCTGATGTGTGTGTGTGTGTGTGTCCGGCACAATCCCCTGGTTTGTGTTCTGCCACAACAAGCCTTCCTGGCTCTGAAAGGACTGGTCACTGCAGACGGTCGGGGAGACTCGCGAGGGGGAAGGAATTGGGCGTTGCGCAGGGCTCTGCAGCCCATCAGTGGCGCACCGTGCTCTTGAGACAGGAGAAACTCTCCGTCAACCCCCTCTCCTGCACCTTGCTATGCAACCCCTTATCATAACACCGGGAAGAAACTGGGCTTTTCCCATCTCCCAGACCGGCATGAGCGCTTCCCGGTGTGGGGAAGACTGCAGACGCGGGCCAACCTGAGGATCTCTGCAGGAAGTCTACCCGCCGCCCACACCCAAGAGCCTTACAGAGAGTCCACACCAGGATCACACCAGGATCACACACGTGCCGGCGGCCAGCAGGTCCGAAACCCGCTGTGCTTCCAGCTGCAGAGCCTCCTGCCACGCGCACGCACGCACGCACGCACGCACGCACGCACGCACGCACGCACGCACGCACGCACGCACGCACGCACGCACGCACACGTCTCGGGGAGACAGGTCACCTGATGGAATTAAAAGAGCTCATCTGGGAATCGCTGCGTTTAAGTCACCAGCCCTCGGTTTCCCAACATTCACCAGCAAGGCCAGGCCCTGGGGTCACAGGGATGAGATGGAGCAAACGTGATCTATGTAGCTGGCACAAAGAAGGAGCCATGTATAGCCACCGTTTTAATAATATTCAACTCCTCACGCGCCATGTGCAAACACAGTCCACATAAGTCAATCCTGAAACTTCCAACCCCTGGCGCCACCTGGAAATCCTAAAATGGATCCAAATGCCGTGCAATAGGAGTCTCACTTCTGTCGCTGGAATGCCCCTAATTCCAGCAGGGCAGCTCCCCAGGGTCGCTTAGAGAGAGCTGGCAAACACACCTGCGAGTCTGTGAGCAGCTCAGCTGAGTCACAGTGTTTGTGTCTGTACAGCTACCAGGCCCTCGCCCCGCAGAGCTGTTTATGACGCGCGCCGTGTGCTGCGAATTCTGAATCCTAAGCCACATGCTGAAAATGAATGAGCTGCGTTCAGACCTGCGAGTGTGAGCACACAGATGCCAGTGCTACAGTGTAGTAAGCAATCACTGTTATTCTGAAAAGCCGAAACACTCAAAACAATCTGTACTCATTGCATGTCAGTTCCTTGTTATGAAATTAGGAACTAGGCCAATTTTTAAAAAAGAAGCATACACCGATTCAATCTGGAAGAGCCAACTGGTTTTTAGGACTCCGCCTTCTGGCTGCAGCTCCTGTACTATGCAGGAGAGAAAGACACGTTTACTTCTCCGACGCTCCTACACATACAGCAGGCTGTCATTCGATGTGCTGCGAGTCCTCCAACATCTGGCAGGAGCGTTGTGACATCACTGCATCTCTCAGTGACATCACCAAGCCACTCGAGAGTCTGTCAACGTTATTATTGACAAGACATCCATTTAAAAAACCCTTGGGGCCAAACGACTGGCATCAAGTAAGGACCTCTAAAATTCTCCCCGTGCTGCTACTCGTAGTTTTATAGCCATTTAAACACTGTGATCAATGATGCAATTGTGGATGAACTAATTACAGGCAAATGCATTTTTCTTGAGAGCTGCAATCAGATGTGCCACAAGCCAGAGAAGCCAGCAGGACACTAAGGCACGTCTGCTACAGACTGAGCACCGCGGGGTCATTCCTTCTGCAAGCTGCAGCTCACAGCTCTGAGCAGCATTGCATTTGAGCACACTTTTGGCAGGGCTAGGGCTGGGGAAATATCCAGTGTGAGACAGGAGGGCAGGGGAGAGACTGAAGAGACAGGGAGAAGAGCAGTCTTTGCAGACCCCAGTATCAGTGAGGTAAAAGAGACTGAGGGGCACACATAAAAGCAACTGGAAGAAGCGTAAATGAAGCAGACCTGCGCCAAAGCAGAACTTCCTGGGCTTCACTGTTGCAAAACAGACAAAAGATACACACAACCAATACAACACAAAAACACTTTCAGTATGGGAAAGGCTGATCCTCGGATGAGTCATGATTGCCGCTGCTGTCAGGGTAAAAATATTTGGCGATGTGCGTCGCACTGCTGTTCCAACAGCCCAGCGGTGCTGCAGACTGTCCTTGGATTCCATGCTCGGCTGTTCGGGAGCTGGGGATAATCCCGGCGCTGCTGGGGTTGGACTTTATGCTAACTTGCGGCAGGGCCCC